ACTGGGGCCTCACTACAGTGGCCGCAGTGGGGACGGTTGCTCTGTCTATAAGGTCCAGGGTCATAAATTTCATTCAATTGCTCACAAACTTGAAAACCTGAATTTTGTTTTAAAATCTAGGCCTACCTCAAAGGTCTTCTTCTCCCACAGCGTGGGGAAGGAGTCAGTCCCTCCTGAGTCATAGGGATCGAGCAAATTTTTAAGAATATGGAGGAGAGGTTCTCCAAAACAAGGATGTGGGCTCAACAAGATTCAAGCTCACTTCTGACCCCAAATCACAACTCTGTTCTTCCTCTGCTTCTCCTCTTTTCCCAGCTCTCTTCCTCATTTTACCCCAAGCTGTGTGCGTACCACCAAGCAAATTCTAGAGCCTTCTGATAGGAGAGGCTTGGTGTGTGGACTGCTCACTGACTCTTTGTGTCGCTTATTTCTGGGCAACAGTAGGTACTGAGCACCAAGGCCACCCTCGGTAGGGCATGCACAAGAGGAGATACAGGAGTTAGGGAAGGCAGCCTGACAGGCAGGAGTCGGGAGGAGCAGCAGATTCATTCACGGGAAGAAGCCCACCACCACTGTGTGCATGCGTCTCAGTCCCAGCTCTGCTTTGACATGCTTGAAAGGCTCACCTCCTCCTCCCCCAGAACAGCCTGTCCAGGAGCATCAGGAGCTTCCCCCTTCCCTCTCCACAAGGCTCAGGGCTCTCACTGAACTCCAAGGCTGGTTCCAATCAGATGACTACAGGCTCAGCACCAAAGGCTGCTTTTCTCCTGGAGCCCAAGGGCTTCAGCTCTTAGATCCCCAGCAGCACCCCAAAACACACACACACACACACCACCACCACCACCACCACCACCACCAAGGCTTCATTCTAATAAAAGCATCAGACTAATGGGATCTTACAAATAAACTTCTCCCTGGAATCATGGGACATTCCCCTTTTAAAGCAGTCATTTTGTGCCAGAGACACTGACCATCCTATTCACCTACGGTCCACTAGATCCGAGTGCTGGGCAAGCTCATGGGGTGGATCACATAAACAACACATGGATGAAATTCTTCATGTGTCAAAACAAGCTCTGAGGACAGGATGCACTTGGAGTTGGAGTGCATCTCTTCTGCCTGGTGGTGGTTATTACAGTTCATGGGGAAAACTGTTTGGAATTTGCAAAGCCTCCAAATCCTGCCTTGGGGCATCTGTGCCTCTTGGCTTCCTCACAGCTGCTCCTTTGTGACCATAATGTAGTTTGATAATCACACTCTGGGTTGCTCAACCCTTATTATTCCCACCAGAGAAGCCTAATGCAGAAAAGAGAATCTGTGTTTGGCATTTTCTGATCCAGAAAAACAGCTTCCTCTGAAGTCAGCAACAGAAGCTCTTCCACAGGGAGTGTGGTCCCCTCCTGGTCCTGAGGCTGGAGGGCCTGGGGCCACAGCTACAAAGCAGAACACACCCCCCACCAGCTTCTGGGCCCCCCTCCCTCCTTCCTTACCATACCAAACACATTCACTCTGGGCTCTCCTTCCCCATGGTGAGAGCACAAGAGGAAAAGAAATGGGAACCTAGCAAGTCCTGGTAGTTTCCAGGAGGCCCACAGGCCCTGTTGAGAGCTGCTGTTGTGGGAAGTAGAGCAGCCAGGGCTCCAGACACTGTAGGGATCCAAGGGATCTGTGGTGTCCAGCTAGTCAGGCCCTCCCCTCACTTCCTGTCTGACCCACTGCCCTGCTTGGGGTCCTGCCTTTCTCCCATGCCACTGCCACATCCCAGTCACAGCATAGTAAAGTGGCAAGAAGGTGGCTGCCACTTTGATTTTGCCAGGGGAGTGTGTTGCAATGGCGAGGTGAGGCCACAGCTGGGTCTAGGACCTCCATGTCCTGGTCCAGAGACCTGTGCTCTTCCCATCAATCTCAGGGAAGAGGCCTCTAATTGAGATCCTCACAGACTCAGTCCCTTGCTGTAAGTAATGATGACCTGTCAAGGCATCAAAATGGAAACAGGACAAAGTAGGACAGATCCTCATTAGCTAAAACACCATGCAGAGRAGACTAGGAACTGCCTTTCCCCAAAGTCTCAGGGGATCTGAGTGGGCTCTGTTTTCTTGGTGAGCACTTCCTCCCTCCCTGCCCACCCAGGGGCCGCTCACAGCATGAATTGTCCCTGATGCTCTTTGGCTCTGGATCTCTATGAAATCATAGGTGCCCAGGAAAGGAGAGGTCCTTACAGAGCACGCACCTCCCTTGGTACGTGGGAGATATCCATGTTAGGCCCAGATTTGGGTCTGGGGTGGCTTCCTGATATCTCAACTGCAGCTGTGTAGGAAGATTCCAGTTGAGTGGCTGAAGATCTGGCAGATATCTGAGTCTGAATAGTTAGCAGTTCAGCTCTATAAGTCAAGCTGGAACGTTTTCTATGCCAGTGGAATTCATCATTTGGCAGTCTGCACTGCAAGATCCCTAAGATAGAAGTGAAACACCCTCCACTCATCCAATTTCCAAATCTACTGTTCTTTGGTATCTTCTGTGCTCTGTAAGATGTCACAAACTGAAAGTTTCCTTGGGTCTAAGTCCACATCCCACTCTCTACCCCAGACAATATCTGGCTGCCTAGAATATAGCTGAAAGGGTCATACAGTGCACAGAGAGGACACCCTGACTGTACTCGACTTTAGCCTCACTTGTTTCAGAACCTGTATGTCCCTTACACTTCCATTTCTGGGGAGACTGAGGCCCAGACAAGTAGGAACCTGCCGTGGTTCACATAGTAAGCTGATGGTGATTCGGTGATTCATAACCTGGCTCTGTTACCTGAGCCACATTCCAGTCCAGGGACTACATGGGGTGGAGTCCCTGCTCCATTTCAGGAAATGGGATTGTTGATTTTTCATTTACACAAAAAAGAAAAATAAATACCAGATGTTTGAAAGCATATTACTACTCATCTTGCCAGAGCTAAAAGTGCATTCTGAACTGAAAAAGAAAATAAATTAAAAAATCCACAAAGCCAAAAAGATGTTTTGAATGAAAATGCTCTCTCGTACACACATACACACACACACACACAAACACAAAATATCTCATTGTTTCTTCTTCAGGGAGCAGCTGTGAAGGAAATTGGGGGAGGGGCTGGACCACAAGGTCCCATCTTTGTGTTTCATACAGAGCTAAGCTTTTAGGCCAGCCTTCCTGAACTGTAGGGGGTGTGGCATGCATGACGAGTCAACATCAATGGAAGCTTATAAAATAACGGGTGAAGCCAGTCACAAAGACAAGGCACCTCAGTTTGGGTGATTCTGCGTGAGGAAACTGCCTTCGTCTTGATTTTTTAAAAAAAGGTATGTACGATAGCTTTAATTTTCACTTATGATAAATGATGCTTAAAATAGAAACAGGCTTGACTTTCCATTGCCCCTTTTCAGCTATAAAGTATAACTAACTCTGACCAAGATCTTGTGCAGTACCTTTACAGACTTGATTTCATTTTTCCTCAAACTTACAAGGTAGGTAAAATTAGTGCCACTTTTCAGGTGAGAAAAAGAAGGTTCAAATGTGCTAAGCAACTGGCCTATGAGAAGACCAAGCTCAGGTCAACTCATATACCAAAGTCTTCCCTTTCCCTGTGCCCTCCTCTATAAAATGAGACAATGGAAATTAACTTTTGAGGAAAAACTGCATTTAGCAATAGGGTCCAAAAATATTTTGTTGAAAAGATGCAGTTCTTGTTGGATACTAAGCTAAATGAGTTTTAAAGACTTATTTACCTGAAGAAACATAGTTTATTTTATCATATGAGATCTCAAACTCTTGTCCTTAATGTTCTGCAGTTCCTTGAGATTAGGGCTATGTCCAGAATGACACTCGGGTGCTCTTAGGAGACTGGAGCTTAACTTCTGGCTCTATAATTTACCAGGCAAATTGACCTCATGGGGTACAAGGAGAATGTCAGCCCAAGTTGCTTCCAGATGATAGGGTACAGAGATTCAGTGCAGAACAGGCTCACCCACTGAGGCCAGGTTTCCCAGGAAGATGTTTGGTGGATGTGAGCAGCAATTCTTCCACAGTCAGTACCCGACCCAGGATGGATGCACGGAAACCTTAGAAGAATTACTTTTGAATTATTTAATTTATATTAATATTTAAATTTATTTATTGTTTTGGTATTGGGGATTAAACCCCATGGCTCTTTACTACTGACTTACATCCCAAGTCCTTTTTATTTTGAGATAATGTCGCGCTAAGTTGCCTAGGCTGTCCTAAGAATTTATAATCCCCCTGCCTCAGCCTCCCAAATTGCTGGATTATCAGGCAAGTGCCAGAGTTTTCATCTCCAATTATACATATTTTTAGAATTAAAGTTCTCATTAGGATAATCTTCCTATGGGTATCAGAAGAAGATCCAAAAACATAACATGTCACAAATAATCTGTGTTTTACCCAAGATCATGCATATTTGTTACCAATATGGTCAGTGTTAGAGAATCAGTATGGAAGGAACTTGGAAAAACATGGTGGATGCTATCAACCCTTCACAGGAGCAAAGCTCCTGCAACCAAAAGGAGTCTTTGGAAGAGATTTGAGATCAAGGGGAGTTAGCCTCTTTCTGAAATCCTCCTACAGAGCTCAAGAGTATGTTTCAGCCCACAAGAGAACTTTTTGTAATAAGACATTTGTCACAATAAGACAGGAAACTGAATTTTGTCACAGTTGCATGGTGAAGTGACACTCTCCAGGTCACAGAGGCAAGCAAGCCCAAGGAGGTAGGCAAGAGAGAGCATGGTTCAGGTCCTGCAGGTGGAGAGTTAGACAGGGGACCATGTCCCAGCTCTGCCCCCTTCTGGTCTTCAGCTTCCCCATCTGTACATCTGGCAAGGAAAGGGTAGGCCCTGTCCAGTTTGGGGGACCTTATAGAAAGTGCATATTATAGAAATGTTGCTCCGGGCAAGTTCCCTAGCTTGGGCTTCTGGTAGAGCTCCTGAGGTTCCAAGAATCTCTTGAAAATGGATGCAAACATTTATGGGTTTCGGCCAGCTTTCTACAAACTCTCCATCTTCCAGAAGGTTAGAAGACAGGTGTTATTTACACAGTAGTAGGAGCTGATGGGAAATGGAGCCTCAAAGACCAAGGGAAATGGTCCTGCCGCAGGCTTGCTCCAGGGAGCCTCAGCAGCCACCCCTCCCATCCTACCCCAGCTGGCAGCTTTCACTCATTACATAACTGTTCTTTTGAAAACCAGGCAACAAAAAGCCTCCAGAAGAAAAGCTATTGATTATTAAAGTTATTTGGAGGTTTAGAGACTCATAATAAAGTGGTTATAATTATTCCTGTATGACACATCCTTTTAAATGCTCAAATCTGAGAACATTTTGCTTACATTGACTCAGTCGTCTTCACAGGGAGAAAGGCAGAGAGCTGGAAATAGCTCACGGCAGCTACAGGCAAGGAGTCACATGGAAGGGAACAGACCTGAAGCAAGCCAGTGAAGGAAGCAGGGACGAGTGCCAGAGGCCCAGAGCTTGCACTCAGGGAGCCAGTGCTCCTTCTGCTCCCCAAAGCCATCCTCTGCCACAAGAAGACCCTTTGGTAGAAATGCTTGGTGCACGGTTTCACATCAGCTGACAGTCCTTCTCTGGTTAGATGCCCATCAACTATGAAAAACACTCAACATAATATTTTTTTTTAAATATAGTGTAATAGGATCCTGTTTCCACTCTCCATAACTAGCATTCATTGAGCATGTACTTTGTGTAAGACATTGTCTTGAGTACTCTCCCTATATTATCTCATTTAATTCCCACAAAATTTTATAAGATAGGCATGATTATTATTCCTACTTTACAGGCAAAGAAACTAAGGCATAATTTGGACACAATTATACTTGGTAGGTGGCAAAGCCAGAATCTAAACCAGGTCAGAGCAGCCCTGGGGTCCCTGATAGCTGCTCCCTGTTAAGATTTTCAGACTGCTCTTGGGTTGGTAGAGCAGCGCAGTAAGCTTGGGGCAGAAACTGAATGCGGTGGGTGGCTCATGCTTGTAATCCCAGCCACTCGCAAGGCCAGCCTCAGCAAATTAGCAAGGCCTAAGCAACTCAGTGAGAGCTGTCTCTAAATTTAAAAAATTAAAAAATAAAAAAAGGGCTGGGGATGTGGCTCAGTAGTTAAGTGCCCCTGAATTCAATCCTCAGTACCAAAAAAAAAAAAAAAAGATTAGAAAAGGCAAGGGTCATGGGGATCCCTTATGAATCTCATAGGACACCTAATGTGGCACATGGTTATGTTGTTTCGCTTTTTGCCTCCACAGGTGGTTCAAAGGCTTCAATCTCCCCCTTTGCTTATCTCCCCCGCCCCCACCCTAGATGTTGTCTCTGTTCATTCAACAAGTACCTACTGGGCCTGACACTTTGAGGTCCTAGGGATAATTCTAAAGAGAATCAGACATTCTGCCCACCCTGGAAACGCACAATGAGGTGGGGGTGGGGTGCAAATCAATCCCAGTTCACTCTCAGACAGGCAGGAGGTGTGTGCGTGGAGGTCCATGTCGCAGGCAGAAGGTCTCAGCTGTGAACAATCGAGAGGCTGCCCCTGAAGGATGCAGGCTCAGGAGGTGGAGGAGGAGGAGGGCCGCCTCCTGAGGGACCAGCCCCTGCCCTTGTGCCTCCCTGGAGGCTACAGCTGCTCTCTTTTCCCCAACTCCAGGCTCCCTCTGCAGCCACCAGCCCCAAGATGGCCAAGATGCTGTTGCTGCTTTCTGCACTTCTGGGTCTCTTCTCTGCGGCCAGGGGACAAACGTTCCATCTTGGGAAATGCCCGACTCCTCCGGTGCAGGAATACTTTGACGTGACTAAGGTGTGGTAAAAGGCTAACCTCCCATTTGGTCTGCTCAGTCTTGTTTGAATAAGAAGCATCCTACAAGGTTCAGTTGTATTATTCTGCTTCAATCTCCATAGCAAGGTTTGGAACAAGTATTTAACTTATTTTGGGTTTCCCCATAGCCGACTCTTGAGGCTAGGACAGGGGACAGGGAGTTTTGACCCATGATTCCAGGAATCACAAGGGAGCACGTGGGAAAGTGATCTCAGATGGCAGAGAAGCAATAAAGGGTGAACAACAGGGTTTCCGTTTTGCTGGCGATCCTCTGAGGAAATCAATAGAATGCATCTTGATTTGTTCTATGAATGGATGCCAGCAGGCCGTAGGAGCTCCCTTGGCACCAGTCAGGCCCTCTGGGATAGTGAGTTGTCCAGGCAGCTGAAGAGAACCTGCCTTGTGGGGCTGGGAGGATATGGATGGAGCATTGACCATGGTGCTAAGTACTGTTATTCCTGTTCTACAGAGATGCTCCCTCCCAGGCAACATAGCTGACAAATACAAATAGGGTTCAAAAGCTGACTTTCCATGTAAGGGTCTGGCGAAACGTCGGAGTAAGAGACCACAAGAGACTGTCCTATGCAAAAACAGAAGGGTGGGTTTATTTGGAGACCAGCATGCTGGGGCCTGAGCTCTCTATAGCAAAGAGAGATAGAGCCCTGAGAACCGCTTGAGCAGAGCTTATATACTTTTCTTGGAGAGGGCAGGGAGGGAAGTTCATTGATGGGTCAGGGCGAGTGAGCAGTTTGCCTGCAACCGAGTGAGGGAGTGCATCCTGCAGTTTGGCAGTTGGGGACAGCACATTCTGGGAACAAGATTAGCAAACAGTTCACAGTTGGGGACAACACATCCTGGGAACAAGATTTCAACAGTGTTTTGTTAAGCATATAGAAAAACAGAGTGACAAGTACCTATTTTATTAACCTTTCATCCATAGGGTAGGAAACCCAAGCATTACTCAAACAGGGCCCAGGAAAGACCAGAACTCCCCAAGGGGCTTTCTTTCTTTATTTTTTTTTAAGAGAGAGAGAGAAAGAGGAATTTTTTAATATTTATTTTTTAGTTTTCGGCGGACATAACATCTTTGTTTGTTGTATGTGGTGCTGAGGATCGAACCTGGGCCGCACGCATGCCAGGTGAGGGCACTACCGCTTGAGCCACATCCCCAACCCCCCCAGGGGGCTTTCTTGTTACATGCACTGAAAAGATATTAATATAACCAGCTCCCCCATAAATGGTCTCTCTTCCTGGGATGGGGGCAGAAAGAGCAGCAGAGAGAGGCAGCTAGCATAGGAGGATCACAGTTTCAAAAAGTCAGCCTCAGCAACTTAGTGAGGCCCTAAGCAACTTAGTACGACCCTGTGTCTAAATAAAATATAAAAATGGGCTGGGGATATGGCTCAGTGGTTGAGGGCTCCTGGGTTCAATCCCTGGTACCATCCCCTACAAGCTACACATATTAGTATGAATAATGCTGAAGTCACCATCAGTCATGGGCACCTCAGTGTCAATGTGTATTGGGACCTATGAGGGATGGGTTAGGTGGAGGTGAGAGAAGAGCTTGAAGCCTGAGGGGGTTGGGCAGCTGCACCATCAGCAGGACTGACAAAGCTCCCACAGGTGAGGTAGGCAGGGGGAATGGATTTTCTCCACTAATATTTTAAGGGCTGATCTCTTTGTTCATGAAACCCTGGCAGACTACAAAGAAGCTTTAAAGAAAGATCCAGGAAATCTGAATTACATTTTAATTTTGGGATAAAAATTTTGAGACACTCTGATATTTATAATTGATCTATATTTACAAAAGTCCTTTGAGAATGGAAACAGAATTGTTAAAAGATTTTGTTGAGATTAGTTCAAACACATTGTTCACTTGTTAAAAGTATTTTTTCACTTTAGTAGTTTTTATTACATTCACAACTGCCCAGTCATCATTATAACCAATTTTAGAATGTTTTCATCATTCCCCACCAAACACCCCAAACCCATTAATGGTCATGTTCCCTTTCTCCCCAGCCCTTCCAGCCCCAGGCAACAAATAATCTACTTTCTGTCTCTGTGAATTTGCCTCTTCTGGATGTTGCACAGAAATGGAATCATACACTATATAGACTTTTGTGACTGATTTCTTAACACGTTTTCAAGGTTCATCTATGTTTTAGCATGTATCAGTAATCCATTTCTTTTATTGCAAAATAATATGCAGTATATGGATTATAGATAAATATTTTATTTATCTATTCATCATTTGAGTTGTTTCTACCTTTTTACTATTAGCAGATGTATGATTTGCAAATATTTTCTCCCATTCTGTGCAATTTTTCACTTTATTGAAAAATTTTCACTTTATTGAACCTTTGAAACACAAAGGTTTGTGTATTGATGAAGCCGATCTATCTACTTTCTTCTTTTGTTGCTTTTGGTTTTGGTGTAATACCTAAAAATTCACAGTCTAGCCCAAGATTATATAGATTTACTCTGATATTTTGTTTGGAGCATTTTATAGTTTAATCTTACATCTAAGTCTTTGATTCAGTTAAATTTTGTATGTAGTGAGATGCAAGGTCCAACTTCATTCTTTTGCATGTAGAATTTCAGTTGTCCCAGCATGGTTTGTTGAAAAGACGATTATTTCCCCTATTGACTATTCCTGGTATTCTTATTGAAAGTCATTTGACTGTATATGCAAGTGTTTATTTCTGGACTCGCAATTCTATTCTATTGATCTATATGTCTGTATTTATGCCAGTACAACCCAGTCTTGATTACTATAGTTTTGTTGTTGTTGTGTTTTATTTTTATTTTTGTTTCTTTAATACTGGAAGTTTAACCCAAAGTACTGTACCTCTCTATCCCTTTTTTATTTTTATTTTGAGACAGTGTCTCTAAGTTGCCAAAGCTGGCCTCAAATTTGTGGCCTCCTGTCTCAGTTTCCAAAGTCGCTGGGATTTCAGATGTGCACCACCATGCCCAGCTGTTATAGCACTGTAGAAAGTTTTAGAATCAGAATGTATGAGGCCTCCAATTTTACTTTTAGGACTATTCTGTATCCCTGGCATTTTTAATGTAAATTTTAGGATTAGCTTATCAGTTTATACAGAGAAGCCATAGAGATTGCATAGATATTAAAGAACAATTTAGGAGTATTTCTATCTTAACAATATTAAATATTTTGATTCATAAACATAGACTATACTTCCATTTACTTAAAATTTGATTTAACAATATTTTATAGTTTTTCAGAGTATATGTTTTGTATATCTTTGGGTAAATTTGTACTTAAATATTTTATTTTTTGATGCTATTTTAAGTGAAATTTTCTTAATTTCATTTGAAAATTATTCATGGCAAACATATAAATACATCTGATTTTGATAAATTGATTTAATATCTTTTTAACCTTGCTGAACTCATTAGTTGAAAAGTTTATTTTTTAAAGATTCCTTAGAATTTTTCTATACAAGAATAGGTGTCAACTGTAAACAGAGTTTTACTTCTTTCTTTCTTTTGAGGATTCTTTCTAAATGTTGAAAACTCCTTATTGATAGAAAAACTTCCAAAAGATTAAGAGGACTTCACAGAAATAGTATGAAATCATGCAAGCACAACATGAAAATCAATTTCTCATCTCTGAACTTCTCTTTTGGAGAATCATGCTTCTTCAGTTTTAATTGTGGAGCACTAAATTCACTTGAACAATAATACATCTATTATAAATGTACGAGAAAATGAGAATGCCCAGGAAACCAGTTGACCTTATTCATTGATTCTTTAAATGATTGTTAGGTTCAGTGACTTTAATTGAAAGTTGTGGTTTAATAAATGAATGGGAAATTTATGGTCATAAATGTGGGCATATATTTGAGCAGAGAGCCATGTGACTGAAGCAATAGTGCCACCTGTTTGCAGGATGCTCTCTTTTCATGTTCTGACTTTTTGAAGGTTAGTGCATCTCTCTAATTTTGTTATTACATTCTTAAATTTCTAAAATAATTTCAATGAATATTTTGACTAGATAAATATATGCACCCGGTTCAAAATTTTTGAAGTCCTAAAGAGCATACAACAAAGTTTCCCTTCTGCCTTTGTGCCTTAGTTTCCTTTTTCAAGAGCAACCAGTAAAAACTGTGTATTATCTTTTTGCAGATAATGTATATGCAAACCAAAAAAAATACATGTAAAACTATAATAGACAGAATAATGGCTTCCAAAGATATCTGTGCCCTAATCCCTGGAGAAAGGGGATTGCAGATGTGACTAAATAATGACCTTGAGATGGCCAGATTAGCCTGGATATCCAGGTGGAGCCAATCTAACCACATAACTCCTTAAAAGCAGAGACTTTATTTCTGGACTCTCAATTCTATTCTATTGATCTATATGTCTGTATTTATGCCAGTACCCACCCAGTCTTGATTACCACAGTTTTGTTGTTGTTTTGTTTTCTTTTTGTTTTTGTTTTTACTGAGCCATGGTCAGAGAGAAGTTTGATGAAGGAATAAGAGTTAGAAAAGCCATGGGAAGGATTTAACCTGCTTTAGCTGACTTTGAAAATGGAATGAAGAGGGTTCCAAGCCAAGAAGTGCAGGCAGCCTCTATACCCTGGAAAAGACAAGTAAACCCATTTTTCTTGGAACCTCCAGAGGGGAATGTTGCCAACATTTTGATTTAGCCAGTGAGACTAGGGACCGATTTCTGGCTTACAAAACTATAAGATAATAAATCTGTGTTTGAAGCTTATTGTAATTTATTATAGCAGCAACAGAAAGCTAACATAATAAGCTTTCTGCCTTGTTTTTATACAAAAAGTAGTTGAACATGCCCATCATTTTGTACCTGGTTCTTTTTAAATTAAAAAAGTAGAGATCATTGCATATCACTCTTTTAAAAGAGGATCATAAAATTCCATAGGACAGATGTCCCACCACTCATTCATCAGTCCCTTACTAATACTCTTAGACTGTGCTTGTCTTTTATTGTTACAAATGGTACTGCAATGAATAACCTTATACATGCATCATTTTTTTTTTAAATAGCAGGAGATGTATTCCCAGAAGTGACATTGCTGGGCCAAAGAGTATGTGTATTTTTAGTTTTGATAGATAGTGCCAAACGGCCCTCTGCAGAGGTTATAAATTAGTACAGTCTCTATGCAAGATGGGCCTGAAAGCATAAGAGTGTCTTGTCCCCCCTCCCCTCTTGGGCACAGGGGCTTCCTTAAAGTCAACAGGGTGAACCTGAAGAGGATTCATGTCTTACAAATCCTGAGCATTGCCAGAGGCTTTGTGACCAACCCCCTGTTCAGGGTCATGGAAGAAAGGGGAGCCAACTCTGGAGTGTTCGAGTTTCACAACCAACACTTCTGCCTTTGCACAAAATTCAAAGATGCCTTGGAGAATCATAAGACAAGTCCACCATCCAGACCAAACCCTTTTATAGAGTTTAAAATTTCACTCAGATTTTGGCCAAATAGGACAGACACTGAGAACATATCTAAATAAAGAGTCCTTTAGGAATAGAATGTAGTATTCAACCAGAGTCCACATATCCGATGCGCTTGTTCCCATTTGAATCATTATCTTGCTCAATTGGCGCTGGGAACAATGCAGCCCATTTTTCCTGGTTTCCCCCAGGAAAGGGCTTTGCTTCTGAAGGCAACAATGGGGAAGAGCTCGCAGGTCTCCAGAGAGCCACAGGGTTTTGCTCTGCTTGTTGTCTCTGCAGTATCTTGGAAGATGGTATGAAATTGAGAAGATCCCAGTGAGCTTTGAGAAGGGAAAGTGCATCCAAGCCAACTACTCACTAATGGAAACCGGAAAAATCAAAGTGCTAAACCAGGAGTTGAGGTGAGTGACGGTGCCAGGCCAGGGCACTGTCCTGGAGTGGCCGGTGCTCATGCAGTTGGATGTGGGATGAAGGGACCATCTCTGGGGCCACACAGGGACAGTTAGAACTAGAATACACTCATTCCTTTCCTTAACCACTTGTTGGGCATCTGTTGGATGCCAGACACTAGAAGAGACACTAGGGACTCAGGAGTAACCCAAATGTCAGCATCCCTGCCCTTGTAGCAAAGTAGAAATTCTGGTAACAAAGGATATGGGGACCACCTGTCTGATCTTGAAAGCAAGAGAAAAACCTTTTCTTTACCAGCTACTGACAGGGCACCCAGCTTTGCTCAGATACTTCTGGAAAGTGCCCACTCATTGCCTTCTGTCACAGTTCATCCCATCTCTAGGCAGCTTGGCCTATTAGAAAACTCCCTTATGTGCAAGGCACTATTCTATGCATGTGTACATACAGCACGTGTGTATGTCTGTTTGCAAATGAATATATATTCATTAGATTCCCATAACAACTCTGAAATAGGTCCTATTATTAGCCTGTTTTTTATGAATGAGGAAACTTAGGTACAGAGAGGTAAAGTAACTTGTCCAAGGGCCACACAGCTGATAAGTGATGAAACAGATTTGAACCAGGAGAAATGAAATGGGGAAGAGAACGCAAGACACAGATGAAAGAAGAGCTGGGAGTGAAGGGCTGTCCTTCTGTTCTCTAGAAGAGCTGAGAAATGTTTCACCTCCAAGAAAACTACTATAACCCAGCCGGGAAGAGCCTGGGCTCACAAAGGCCTTCTGTGGTCATCCCAGCCTCTATTGACCTTCCTGTGAGCCAGGACTCAGCTCTCACTCCCTGACCTGCATAAACCAGAGAAAGAAAATAGGGATCTTGAGGGCCACAACGAAAACTCTATCTCATCTCAGAGCCCTCCTGTGGGACTTGGGGTACAGATGCCCAGAGACCTCACAGGAGTTTTATGGCCCTGTATAAGTCACCTGTCCCTCACCATAATGCAAATTGCTAAGGAAATTGACTTATAAAAATAAAAAATTATTTGGCTCATGGTTCTATAGGTTCCCATCCAAGATCTAAGCGGCCCCATTCTTGGGGCCTCTGGTGAGTGTGACACATCATGGTGGGAATGTGACAGGGTGAGCTACTCACCTCAGAAGTCAGGAAGCAATAAAGAAAAACAGGAAGAGACCAGGGTCCCAGAGTCCCCTTCAAGGTCATGTGTCCAATAACCTAAGGATCTCCCACTAGGCCCCACCTCCTAAAGGTTCCACCACCTCTCAATAATGCCATCCTGAGGACCAAGCCTTTAACACATGGACTTTTTTTTTTTTTTTTTGAAGGTAGGGGGATTGAACTCAGGGGCACTCGACCACTGAGCCACATCCCAGCTCTATTTTGTATTTTATTTAGAGACAGGGTCTCACTGAGTTGCTTAGCACCTTGGTGTTGCTGAGGCTGCCTTTGAACTCTTGATCCTCCTGCCTCAGCCTCCGAGCTGCTGGATTTCAGGTGTGCGCCACTGCGCCTGGCTAACACATGGACCTTTGCGGGACACTTTCCCRAACTATAGCAGGCCCCAAAGTTGTTAAGACCTCACTTTAAATATTTTGGCCCATTTTAAGACCAAATGTCAGACAATGACATGTATCCCAAACCCATGAGCTTCCCTTGCCTCTCTTCTGGAGTTGGTCTGGAGTCCTCTTCAACTGCATCTTGAGTATTAGATTGCTTCGCCTCTAGGATTACACCTGTTTAAGACACAGAACCCATGGAGCAAAGTTTTTAGCTCAGGAAATTGGTACAATTTCTCCTTCTAAGAGGGCTGCAAAATGTGGGTAGCCATGGCAGAGGGTCTCAGCCAGTATCAGGGACTCTGAAAGCCAAAACAGTTGGCACAGCATTGGAAGATGAAGAACTCAGGCTTCGGGATTTAGCTGTCTAGTTTCAAATCCTGGTTCTTCCACTTAGTATGTGATCTGGGATTAGTTAGGGTTGTTCTTCAGGCAATAATAATAGCACCTACCTCCATGGGGCTATTTGAGCATTAAATGATGTGGCACCCATAAAGCTCTTAGAACAGTGTGGGGCAGGAAGCAATCATTTGATAAACACTATGTCTCATGGTGAGGCTGCCGCTACATCCTTGAAAATAGCAAAACATCTCCCCATGATTGAGCTGTGAGTTTGTGATCAGAGACCCTTGTTTTTGAAACTGTTCTGGAGCAAAACGCAAATGAAGGTAACAGGAGCAGACTGGGAAGGGCCTCGTGTGCTGCTAAGTTACCATCCACAGATATAAGGAGACCATGTTCCCCAGCTGCCTGAGTTCCAGGTGAGAGAGCAGGGTATGGTCTCTGGCCCTAGGTGGTGACAGGCAGACAATACTGCAGGAATATCAGAGTACATGTCCCAACCTCCCTTGCTTGCCACTTGTTGCCTGATCTCTGTGACATCCATCCCCACTAACCATCTCACCAACCTACTAGCGTTTTTTTTTTTTAATATACATTTTTTTTACTTGTAGTTGGACACAATACCTTTATTTTATTTAYTTATTTTTATGTGGTGCTGAGGATTGAACCCAGCACCTCACAGGGGCTAGGCCAGTACTCTACTAGCCCCAGGCCCTAACGGACTAGCTTTTTAACACGTACAACTGCTCTATTTTTAGCCTGCCTGCCTTCCTCAAGGACGGATGGAGGGGCAGCTGCTCTGCCAGATCCCTGATGCCTGAGCACCTTCCCTTTTCTGTCCCCCCCACCCCCGCCGTCTCCCCCAGCTTCATTCATAGGCCATTGGGAGTTATCCAGGAATGGAACAGGTCCCTTCAAAAGGGTAGAAACTATCTCATTCACTCTAAGGCCATCGCTTTTAAGATATGCCACCATTTTATATACCAATAAGAAAGAAATGACACTGCCAATTATAAGCATCAGGTGGCATCAATTGTAAGATGTACATTTCTTCAATTTAGTGTCTCTGAGATCTGGGCTTACCTGAGAATCACCCAGGTGAGTCAGTATCTCCTGGCAACATGCTTTACTGCCTGTAGTATCAGGTCCCCACTCACTCTGACACTTGCTAAAGTGGATGGGGTTTCAGGCCCCCTGATGGGACAGTGTCACATGACATTACCGAGGCCCAAGGAGAGAAAAGCTCGTGGAACTCAGACTCCCTCCCCTTTTGCATTATTTTCAGTGATCAAGTTCCTCATTTGTAAAGAAGTGAATCTTCTTTGTATGATGGGTCTCTTGATTTGTGTTTCCCTTCTCTTATACTCAGGTTCTCTTTGGAACCTGGGAGAGGAAATGGCCTGAAAGGCAAATGACAGACAGTCCAAAAGAATCAGGAGGTCCTAACACATTATCCAGTCCCAGAGCATTCGCTTCTTATCACTCTACCACTGTCTGCCATCACTGGGTCTCAGATAGTCACAAAGGAAAGGGCAGGAAAATTGCCAGGATCTAGCCACCTCTGAGAGCCTCTCACACCAGAAAGCAACCATGTTGGCCACCATGGTCCGTAATAGCACAGATCTTGCCTTTTGTTGATTTTTGGATTTTAATGAGTTGTCTGTTCTTTCTTTCTCTTCTCTCTCTCTCTCTTTCTTTCTTTCTTTCTGTCTTCCTTTCTTTCCTTCCTTCCTTCAACTCATTGCAGATATGATGGAACTGTGAATCAAATTGAAGGTGAAGCCATGGTGTACAACCTCACAGAGCCGGCAAAACTAGGAGTTAAGTTTTTCCAGTGTAAGTATCCACTTCTCTCAGAAAGTTTCAGGGACAGGAGATATGCAAATTGRAGGCTAGAGCCCTGGGTTGGAATACTCTGGTCACATTCAAGTGTCATCCGTAAGGATTGGATAGATAATAATTTCTTGAGCACCTACTATATGCTATAAGTAGATAGTAGCACTGAGAGTAGGCACTGGGATGCAATGCAGACAAAGAGTACATTCCAGTGTGGATAGTGACAAGTATTCTGGAGATTTCTGTAAAACTATGGTCAGTGTTCCAGTAGATAAGGCGCAAATGGAAAAAATAATAGGGTGTGAGCAGTAGGAGACYCAATCTAGTCTTGTTTCTCAGAAAAAAACTGAGGTCTCCAAATTAGTAGGTGTTAGCAGAACAAGTAGCATGCCCAAAGCCTGGAGGCAAGGGACTGCAAGAGTGAAGGCTATTTTGAGTCCTGGCTCTGTCCCTTTCTAGTCACATTGTTGGGACTCTCAGAGATACTGAATCACAGGCTCTGCCCTCTGAGTTCTGAGCTAACTGGGGAACGGACACAGACTACAGAGTAAATGCCAGATGTCAATATTGTTGCTGATGTGGATACCCCGGAGAATTCAGCTCAGACTTAAAGGTTTTCTAAAGCTGCAAGTACTTGGGGGCCCTTCTTTCTACCTATAGAACTGACACCGAAGTCACCAGTGCAAGTATCCACTTCTCTGTAAAAGAAGTCATTATCACTCCCCACCTTTGCCAACCTCCCCCTCCATACCAGCCAAGTCCCTGGAGTGGGGCAGAGAGGAAATCCTTATTTATAGACCAAGAAAGGAATGCTGGGAGGAGAAAACATTTCTTCCCACACGCAATTAGGAGCAAATAACTTCACATGTATTAAAGGGGGGGATGGGTTTGCGGACCGCCCAATGCCATGAAAAGAAATCGGATTGTGCAGGCTCCAGAGACTGCCAGGGGCTGTGTACATTTTCATTCCTCTCCTCACTTTTACAAAGGAAGAAGTTGCAGGGAAGAGAGCTGAGTGATGTGGGCAGACACTGAACTCATTAGAGGTAGAGTCTCCAAACTCTCAGTTGAGAGTTTTTCCCCATGACATGATTGGGAAAGTGATGGGAGACGAGGATGAAGTTTCAGTCTCATGCCTACAATCCTCATGAAGAAACCTGGGGCAGGAGCTACGGACCAGGGAAGATGCAAAGGATAAGATTGATTCTGGCTGGAGAGGTTAGATGTTTGCACAGGCCTTGTGGGGTATATGAGAGATTATGGGAAAGGTTGGAAGGGAATGGTGTGAGAGATGCCTGGATACAGAAGCCTAGAGGGGGAGAGAGCACACGGAATGGGGGAGAGGGCTAAGGAGGCCCTTGAGTGCATTGCAACACCCTCAAGCAACAGGAGAATGTCAGAGTTCTCTAACAGAAAGAAATGTGGAAGTTTCTTGTGCTGAGAAGAGAGATCTGGGCAAATTTATTCTTGAGCTCTCAACCCTGTAAGAGGAAGACAGAATATCCATGACAGGGTGTGTGCAGGTGGGACAGGATGCTATGCTGGAAGAGGTGGGTGGCCTGTTTTTCCAAAATCAATCAGTGCTGACGCACTTGGTCCAGCCGGGAATGTGCAGAGCGCTTGACCCTCACGGTAAAGGTTAGATGAACATAACTCTCTCTGGGTGAGTGAGGCGGGCAGGCGGGCAGGCAGGCAGGGCACCAACAGTGCTAGAAAGAAACAACACTCAGTCCGAGCTCCCATGGAGGCTTTTTCCAAACATCCTTCTGTTGCCAAATTTATAAACAGAAAGCTGGTCCTCTGGCCAGCTCTCTTTTTTTCCTGATAACTTGCTGTGTTCTTGACACCCGGACAAACTCTATCCACTACACAGCACCTCCTTTAACCCACAGCTTCTCAGGTCATTCACAAGTGCCGAGTTCTGGTTTTGATCTGGCAAATAAGAATTATTTTTGAGTGGAGAAGCCGGGATGCTTGGAACTCAGGAAAGTGAATCACCCCTGACTGCATGTGTGTCTAAACCTGTTATGCTTATGAGGTCAGCACACAGCTTTCTCCCACTTGACTGCATTCCAAAGCTGAGCTATGTGGGTTTTTTTTTGGCTTGGACCTTGACTGTGGAGGTCAAGTTCACAGAGGGAGTTTCTAGATCTAGATGGAGAGGATAAATCCTCCATCTTTCCTCTTAAGGACCCTGTTCATCTAGGGTTCCAACACTTACAGATGTTGATCAATGAATCTTTATAGGTATTTTGAGAGGAAAAGCTCAGAATATGTTATCAATTGGCTTACTATATTCTTAGGAATAGAAGGATTTGTGAAGCTTATACTAGAAGAAAAAAAAACAAAGATGTCAGCCTCAACCTCCTCCCTTAGGCAGGCTGAGAGGAAGTTGGGTGGTATAGACTCAGAGCCTGGGGATTCTTGGCCTGAGATTCTTGACTCTGCTCAGCTAAGTGGTACCTCCATGTATGTTGGTGCTAAGTGCAGCCTGTTGGTCCAAGGGGTCCACCCAAACACCTTGTTCACCCCTGCTACTGGAGAGAATGGCCATAACAATAGTTCTTAATTCTGCCTGCACATTAGAACCACTGGGGAGCCTTTAAAGTAATGACCACCTGCATGTCGGAATCCAGAGAAGGGCAGGGGAAAGTGAGCTTAGTATCTTTCAAAGCCTGCGTATGATTCCCTTAACTGAAAGTAGTTACTATCCACTGACTTAAAGAAGTGGATCCCCAGAGACCCATTCTGGAGAGGAGGTTTCTCTCACCCTGGTCCATCCTGATTGTGCCTTCTTCTGGTTCTCAGTGATGCCATCAGCACCGTACTGGGTCCTGGCTACCGACTATGAGAGCTATGCCCTCGTGTACTCCTGTACCACCATCATCTGGCTTTTTCATTTGGATCATGTTTGGATCTTGGGAAGAAACCCGTATCTCCCCCAAGAAACTGTGACCTATCTAAAAAGTATCCTGACCTCTAATAACATCAGTATTGAGAAAATGACTAAGACAGATCAGGAGAACTGCCCCGAGTTCCTGGGAAGAGGCTCTTAAGCGAGGCTGCGTGTATTCCAGGTTACTTCTTTTGCTTTGCTTTCCTGCTCCCCTTCCCACCCCTCCCCTCGTTAATACAAAGCAACCATCCATGATGAGCTACTGCAAATACCAGAAGGGACATTTGATTGCGGAAACCAATGGAGGGAAACTCAAGGAAAGTTGGTCCAAGCACTGCCATGCCCTACCCTGTCACCTTGCCAGCCCAGTAATAAACTTGTTGCTGACCTGCTGTGCTCACAGTGGATTCTGAATTGGATTGATTATTGTCGTATTTTCACTATAAACATGTATTTATCAGTGATAGAGCATTTGCCTGGCATTTGCAAGGCCCTGGATTCAATCCCCAGAACTCCCAGAACAAAGGGTGGTGGGTGGGGAATACACACACACACACACACACACACACACACACACACACACACACACACAGATAAATCTTTAACCAGTCATACTGAGAAAAACCAAGCCCTATACTGCCCTAGTTTAAAGGTAGCAATCCTCTTCTGGAAAGGGAGAATTGATGGCTAAGGCATATTCTAGTGACCTGGATCAGGGTGCCCCCATTCTATAGTAGATGCTCCTCTGGGGGAATGATTTGGGTTTCTGAGTCTTTGGTAGGCAGTTTTCTTGAAGCTTTTTCTTTCTCACCAGGAAGTCTTCAGAGAAGGCTGAAGAATGGGGATAATCCTTGGTTGGGTCTGTGCAAAAAAAAAAAAAAAAAAGGTGAATCTGTGATTGAGAAGATTTTTTAAAATAAAATGATATTTGCTTTTGTGTATCTTTCAGTTGATATTTTCTAAGGCCCAGCTTTATTGAAAGATACAGAACTATGCTCTTCCCATAGGAGCTCATAGTGTAATGAGAAAGACAAGTAAAGATGCCATTATAACCTAAGGCAAGGAGGGCAAACGTAGAGGCCTGTGGAAGGTTCTAGAAAGTTCTTATCCCTGCAAGACACAGACAACCAAGGTAATGCATCCTTCTGGGGCTGTTCCACCAGGGAGGCAACAACCACCTTGACTTGGGTTCTTTTACCTTGTGACTTTTAAAACTAGAAAGACCTCATAATTATCATCTTGCAATTTCACTTGGCTGACATAAATTTTATAATCTATTAATGTTTTGGGAAATGAATAGAAACTAAGCCATTTGATTCCATTTTTGCTTCTTTGTAACATGAATATAAACTATTAATTTCCTTGATCATTTGAGACTGTAGTGCTTTATATTAAAAGGTCACAAAAATTCCAAGGATCTTAATATATACAATTTTCACTTAGCTAAATAAATATGAACTCAAAATGTAGCTTTCAATTTGAAATTCCAAAAGGCTGGAAACATTGGACAGAAAAGCAAGGAGGAGGTAGCAGGAGGTAGAAGGTAGCTCTGCCAGCTGTTGCACCCTGGACTTTTTACCACACTGCCTGCCTCACTTGGGCACTTGGCACGACTTCTAAAATGCAGTTAATCCTCAGAGTGTGAAGTTGCCATCTGTCTTTTATCTTATGGTACAAAGTAAGTTGTGATTTCATTCCTCTTAACAGCCATCTGGTCACATCAAAACAAAATGACTACACTTTGCATTTCCTTGGGGTCTTGCCCCATACATAGGCTTAATGATTTTGTGTGAATGAATTACTGAACACCTGAATAGATGGATGGACTCAAGTTTTTTTAATATTTATTTTTTAGTTGTAGTTGGACACAATATCTTTATTTTTATGTGGTGCTAAGGATCAAATCCAAGGCCTTGCATGTGCAAGGCAAGCGCTCTACTGCTGAGTCACAATCCCAGCCCGGACTTAAGTTTTTTGATAATGAAAGAAAAGAAACCTAAGAAGCAGGTATCAGGAGTAACTGAGCCTGAAAAAAGTGTCTGGTATTCCAGAGGGCAGCTTGTGGGTACCAAGTATCTTGAGGAAACATGGGGAAAGATAACAAAGATCTGGAAGAGAGAGGAAGAAAAGGGAATTGGAAAGTCAATAGCACAATAAAGACAATAGTACATAACAAATCCCCTTGTGCCCATCATTGGCTTTAGCAGTCATCAGCATGCCACCTGTCTTGCTTCAGATATCACCTACCATGAACCAATTGTTTTCCCTAGAGTGCTTTGTAGCAAATCACAGATATCACATCCTATTACTTGCCCATAGATACCTAAGTGTATACTTCTTGCAAATATTCACACTTTTTAAGTTAAAAATTTGCAAGTTATGTTTTATGTCCTTAAGTTGCTCAGAGAATATAAATTCCTGTGTAATTTTAAAAATATCTTTCATAATTTAGATGAAAGGGAAGATGTATGCCCAAAGAATGGTCATCAAAGTTTAACTTCTAGCAGTCCCTCCAAACTGAAAGAAGCCAAACTAAAACTAACAGCAGAAAAATGGGATCATAAATTATGGAACAGACCTTTGATGCCATGTCACATATTCATTAAAATGTGAGGACTACAAAGCTACACGAGAGTTGGTGTCTACTCCCACACACTCACTACTGGGAGAGCCCTGTTGGTGTCCTTGTGCTCCTGCAGAGTCTGTATCATGTGATTCCACCACCACGCCTGGTTGGACTGGGTATGTTCACCTGAGCTAGAGACAGCCAGGGCCACAGGCTGAACAAAAACCTTTGACTTTTGTGGCCTAACTGACTGGGAAAGATAAAATGAAACAATCACATTGGGATTTGACTTTAAGAGATCTTGTGAAAGGATGGTTGAAGGTTCTGTAGCTGTAAGGTCATACAGTTAGCAGTAACCATTATTGGTGATGTTATAACTAAAGTTATAAGAGTGTGGACAGAAATGCAGAAATAAGCAGAGTCCCTACCCATGCACGAAGACCTTGGACAGAGCAAGTTCACTGACTGATGGCTTTCCATGTCCTAGTTCCATTCCTGTGAAACTTACTTATCTTGGGTTCTGCCTTTGAGTTTCTGCAAGATTTGATACAAGTTGGTTTCTGCAAGTTTCTGATTTGGGTGCACACGCACACATTTTATTCTGAGATAATTTAACTTGATTGAATAAATGTTCCTTGCAACCAAAATAGCCCTAAGACAAAGGTGTTCGCAATATGATGTTGAGTGAAAAAAAAAAAAAGAATACAGCATTTTAACTATGCTGTATTTATAGCTACATGAAATGATGGCATAAAATCAAGTGCTAAAAGTGAACAGAGAAAATGAAAGCAATTAATGTGTTATGTTAGAGTGGTGGAATTATGGGTGATATTTTTTTTCCTTTTACATTTTTGCTGCTGCTGTTAATAGTAGGCATTAAAATATATACAGACTCTAAAACCTCCCTTTAATCTAACCTGACCCTCTGGTAAAGTCTAATGCCACTCTCCCCAAAATAGGCCTCTTATTCCAACAACTATCTCAGATTTTGAGGCTTTCTGAACCATTCTCCCATCCCACCATACCCATAATCTATCTGAGATAAGAGCATAATTTGTGAATATAGGATATGTTGTAGTTTAAAACTTCCTATTAATCAGAATATACTACCAACAAGGTTCTCTATGCTTTAAGAGACATAAAAGGGAGATGTTACATAATTTAGAAAGTCTTTATTTTCATGATTATCTAAACATTGTCTATCTCCTAACAGACTTCCCCAAACAAGCAATCACTGTGAAGATTTTTTAAATGTGTTAATTATGTTCAACTTTTATGATCAAATTACTATTTTTACTATTTATGATAGTAAAATAGACTCAAGATTTACTAATTCTTCCAGCAGAAAAGGTGATCTGAACTAATTGGAAATGCCAAGGAGTAGTGTGGCAGGAAGCCAGGAGATAGAATAATAAAGTAAAATTTTGCTGAGAGGAGAGTACCTATACCTTTTAAGGGAAAATAAGCCATAAATTTACTTATAATACCAACCCTTTATATTATTTTATGTCTCCTTCTAAACCTTTCATTATACCAAAATAATGTATATAATTTTTCATTTTACTCACTTTACATGTCACGCTCTATAAATGCATTGGAAGTATTACACCTTATTTTCCCAAGTTTTCAGTCTGCTAACTACAATTAAAATATAAAAATGCCAACCTAAGCCAACTCTTCAAAATCTTCAGTGCATCCAGAGATATAGGGGGAGTAATAGCTGGTTGAATTGTAAAAGGACTCTCTCAGTGACCAAGGTTAGAAGGAGCCTAGAGACAAGAGCTACCAGAGGCTGCAGCTCAATGTGTGCAATCAAATATGCAAACTTTATCCCCAAATCTCTTAGCCTGTGAGTGCTGAAGTCCCAGTGATACCTCTGGTTATCTGTAGAGGGGAAGGTACTCAGCTTCTGCTCAAGGAATTATTGTGCCCTGATTGACATGCTCCCCCTGCCCTGGCATTTCATCCTCCCTGTTTTGCTTTCCTGCCTCCTCTCCCTTGGCTCCTTCTCAGGCACCCAGTCTACTGTTCTCAGCCAATTCATTCCCTGAAGGGAATTTATCAATTTTAGGGGGAGACATCCCAGAATAGGGAGAGAGTAGACAAAAGATCACAAAAAAACTCCCTCAGGTGATTCATATTTGCTCAACTGAGAACCATTGACTTTTCTAAGAGAACCAAAAGCTACTCCCCAACCTCCAATTTCGGCACCTTTAGGAGACATTGTTCCTTTTATTGAAATGTCCTGCTGTCAAAATCCAACCTATCAAGTTTTCATCAGTGAAGTTAGCAGGACATGATGGCACACACCAGCAATCCCAGCAATTCAGGAGGCAGGAGGATCACATGCCCCAGAACAGCGTGGGCAACTTAGAGACACCCTGTCTCAAAAAACAAAAAGGGCTGTGGAGATATATATATATATATATTCACACAGACACACACACATATATATAAAATTCTCTTCTCTGATCAATATTCTAGAAATACTTATGCATATGAGCATAAGGAGACATGTACAAAAATGTTTATTGTAGCACCATTTTGAAAGACTGAAAAACTGATAACTGATATGTTCACCAACAGAAGAATTTATTTTAAAATTGTGGTATGCGTGTGCACCTAAATGGAATATTACATAAGTGTGGAAACTAACTAGAGCTGTGTACATCAACATATATGTCTATAAAACACATTGAAAAAAAAGTAATATATGGAAGGATTCAGTATGATTATATACAAAATGACATTATTTCAGGATATGTACATAATTGAAGTGTAATGGAAGTCAGGAACTAATAATCATCAAATTCAAGGTCTTGGCTACCTCAAGA